TGGAGAACGGGCAGCTTTGTGTCTGCTTAGCAACCAGTCAGACATGGTGAGGTCAGGTTTGTACTGTCCCCAAGCAAGAGGCTGGTCCTGCTGTGAAAAGCCTTTCCGCGGCTGGAACACTGAGTTTCAAGTGGCAGAAGATTGGGGGATGTGAAGGACTCTGAGGGTAAATGGAAACAAATCTAGAAGCTTCACCTAAAATAGAACAGAAGCATGTTACAAAAGATGGTTTCTTAATCGTCTCACACCGGTTAAACTGTTAGCAATAATTGTTGGGATGAAACATCTGAAAATTGCTGTGATCTCTACCCAGGACAGAAAACAGCTAGTTTTTTCCCTTTTCAAAGGCTGTTTTGAGAAGATATTTTTGTGCTTAGAGAAAGCTACAGTCCAAACAAGGCCATGTAGTGACCACACCACAAATGAGCACAACTTTAACCAACTCCCAGAGTTAAATCTCAAAGCTGTTTATTGAAAAGAGATTACATACTGCTAGATTAAAGAGGTTGTTAATTCTAATTTATATATGGAATTTTATATACACAAGTTAATGCTACTGCCTACTAAATAAAAATAAGGTTATCACACGGACAGTAGGATTTACTGCTCTACAGTGACTATCGAAAGGAATATTAAAATGTTTAATGCATATATTAGGAAATCAATTGAATTCTTTACCGTAAAACTGCTACTCTTAAATAGAACGGAGAGTTCAGATACAATTATGCTTAGAAGATCCCACTCCTGTAACTTTTTGCAGGAAAACTATATAGATCCATATTACAGCCTCACAATCGTACCCTTTATTGATCACTTGCATATTTTGCCAGTCAGTATATAGTTCTGTGCCTTTTGAATAATGGTCTCTTACCAGTTTTCTGACTGATTTGGAAATCTCAAAACACGTTTGGACTGTGCAAAATGGTGGATTATTTTGTACATGTTTTTACCAATTTGCAAATGGCTGCTGGCACTCAGATAGGAGGATTGTGAAAATTTCCCTAAGGCCTTTGATTGCTGCATCTGCTGAGATGACGCAATTGAAGTGCAAGCCTGCAGGGTGAAAGATGGTGCAGAGGGAGGGGCCAGTGTGCACAGCAGTCACTCTTGGTACAGTATAAAGTGGATCAGGCAGCCAGGCTTCCCTGATGGTGTGAAACAACTTGTGTACAAAAATGAGGTGCACTACTTGTTTCACAAAGATGAAATGCTTTCCATAGTGGCTTCTGTTGTAAGGGTCAGTATTAAGAGCAGAATAAATGTGTGTTGCTTCAGTCGTTTTTTGAAAGATACTGTCAGTGTAAAAAATTCAAGTACGCTTTTGATAAGTGATTTAAAGGAACAGCCTTCATTTTTTACTTAGACATTTTAAACTATTTAGCAAGCTGGAGATACAAAACCCCAAGTGGAATCTACGTAAGCTTTTCAGAATGCAGAGAAATGATGCAATTACTGTCCTTCCAGAACAAATTAAGCATGAGCGCTGATCTGAATGCACAGGGCCTGGCAGTGAGATCAGGCATGAAGGCAATTACATAATTTAAAAGTATTTTGTCATGTCTGACTATGAAGTTTATAGGTCAATTTAACTGTAAAATGTTATAATTAAGTTCTTAGCTCTCATTTGTGTTTTTCAGCCTTAACTTTAAATACCATCAAATCCTTAGCTTTCCTGACATTTGTGGAATTCACAGCATGAGCATCATGGGTATATATTGAATGCTCCTCAATAGGCCCTTGGTGACCTACATGTTTTTTATCCTAGGTCATTGAGACTGGCACTCCTTTCCCTTCACGGCATAAATGCAAGTTAGAGGCTTGATTTTGCTTTCATAAGCTCAGGCTAATAGCATGCTTTTAATGGGTTTCCTGTTTAAAACATGAATGCTGCTTGTTGTTATCTAGGCTTTAAATAGCTTAACTGAAGCCATGATTTTCTTTAGTTCCAGGGTTTCTTTCAATTGCTGTAGTAACCTGGGTCCGGGGCCTCGGTGGTGCTCCTGATGTCCCTCACCCACCCCTGAAGATCCCAGGTGGGCGAGGGAATAGTCAGAGGGATCACAATCTTTCAGCTAATTTATTTTATTCTGTAAGTATAGGCAATCTAATGCCATGCAGTCTTTGCTTCATTTTCTTAGTTATGAATAACTTCTCCTGTGGTGCAGACTTTGCGAAGGCTATAACTAGGGATGTTAGATACTGTGTATTTTAGTAACCTTGTGTGGGATGGTAGATGGAGCTGGTCTGAAAAGGGAGCCTATTTAAAAATCTGTTCCCTGTGCAGACTG